GTGAGTGTGGGTGTGGGTGTAGGGTGTGGGTGGGGTGTGGGGTGTGGATGTGGGTTTGGCTATGGGTTTGGCTATGGGTGTGTGAGAGTGTTTCTAATTACAGCCACACCCACATCTACACCCACACCCACACCCACACCCACACCTACACCCACACCCTATGGACAAAGTTTCATCGAAATTTGTGACATTGATTGAGCACGATGTGTCGTGCTTTCGTGCATTGCCTCCTAGGTATATTCGAATCTACTCGTTGGCAGGAGAAAATGGAGTTTTTACTTTTCTTAAGATCAAGAAAAATGACTCGTGAAGATCTTAAATTCAGATGATTGGTTCGGAGTGAGAAGTACGTGAATAACACTAAGGCCTTGCAAAAGCAAATCTAAGATTAGGGATTTTCTCGTTTTAGAATAGTGAAGTTTTTTAACTTTCACAATTGTTGCTGAAAAATGGCTGCTGACAAAAACCCAGTTCAGATACAAATTCAGACAAATCAAATATTTGCTGAAGAAAGATACTGTTGTGGCTGTTGTCGCCATGGTCATCATGTACTTGGTCTTATTTGTTGTGTGGTTGTATGGGGTTTATTGATTTCTATTATTTGCCTTTTTGTCACGGATAAGAATCCTGTTTCTGGATACATAACTGCTACACTTCTATCTGTCGCGTACATAGTTTATTTAATCGAAGCATTTTGTGCAAAAACATGCCGATATTTAGTTAATATAAAGACACCGCTGCCAGGAGAAGACATTGCTATGTATATTACACGTATAAAAAGAGAACCATCACTTATATCAATGACTTGTGAATGTTTTCACTATGAAACTTGTACAAGATTAGTTACAGGATATTATACAGAATACGTTAATGGTCGAAGTGTTACAAGAACCGGAACACGTGTTGAAACATATCAAGTATACTGATTACGAAATATTTCACTATAGTGAGTGGTCGGATGATTCAGAATTTCTTTCTGACGAAATATCAAAGTACAATGTAGTGAGAATCGACCTATACAAATCATGGATACCTGGTAATCCAAAAATACTAGCGGCGTACAACAATCAATATAATGAATTTGTGAGTAAAAACCAAAATCGTGATACGTATTTCTTATCATGGCATAATATAGATATTAACAATTATGACCCAAATATATTGTGGGTCCTTGAGCAAAGCGAGTGCGTGAAATGGTACATATAAGTCGTGATTACAATAATTTGTTTGGGTTCTATTTTTTATCGATATTGGTTAGATCGATACAGTGTTCATGGGAACTTCATATTTAAAAAAATTGTAAAAGTATAGAACTTATGATAAAACGTCTCACCTCTCTCTCATTTCGTTCATTTATTTATTTCCGCTTATCTTGAAAAAGACGCCTACCAAAAACATATCACTATCTGTTGTTTATAATCTACTCTTTTTAAAATATTTTATTAAATCTTGAAGGCGGGAATAGCTACCATGATCTAGATTTCGTCCTGACAAAAGAACTTATCAAAAAGAGACCAAAAATTTCAATTATTGAGTTGGAGAAATCATTGTCATATCTAAATAAAAGTTGTTGATGAATTAGATTGAAAAGAATGAAATCATACCATATTAATCTAGCGTGTTTAGGAATAACAGGATAAGAAAGAATAGTTAATATTCACTGAAGATGGTAAAATTACTAAAAGATTAGAAAGATAACACCCACAGATGTCTTCTTTTTCAAGACGGATCAGTCACAGAAGCAATGCTTCAGCAGATTAATGTTAAAAACTCTTCAAACTACTGTTGATTGTTTATTTAAATATAATAACTTTCTGAATTAAATAACAAAAACTAAAAAAAATTTAAAAAAATTTAAAACATGTGTGGTGTATCTTGCATATCTTCATGAACTCTCAGTATCTCTGCTTGAATTGCATTTGGTGGTCTGAAAAGAGAAATGTTCTTATCGATTGTAGCCTAAAAAGAAAAAAGTTTTCACTTCCTTACCTTGTACTACTGTCAAACAGTTGTCTTGCCTTGCTTGCTGCGGCATCTGCCAAATGTAAAACACTCGGAATCGATTCACTCAATCGACTATCAATACGCTGATCAGTATGACAAAGAGAATAAGTGAGTTCCTCCAATTCACTCAATGAATATTGAATTTCATTGACTAGTACAACATAATTTCCAATTTTATTCGTTCCTAGACCTGGTTCATGTGAATTTAGGAAGAAATTCAGATAATTTGGATTTGAATTAACGATGAAACTATCAACAACGACGCCGGATTCAACATTGGCTATATTCGTAGGCATCAACAGCCGAAAGAGGCGGGTATGATGACGTTTTTTGACCACGATGAATGTTAGCAGAGGAGCGGATGAATTTGTTGGATAGATAGCTAGAAAGAAAGAACAGAGTATACATAAAAGTCTGAAGATAAACTACGAATGCAACACGAGGAAAACTAGAATTTGACTGTGCTTCAGGATTCTGTTCTCGGTCCGAAGGCTAAGCGCGGATTTGTAGAGAAGAAGGAAAAAACGATTTTTCTCACCAAATCCTAATCCATTAAACTTGAAAACAATCTTGTCATTGGATCTCGTTTATGTAGCTAGCAAAAAGTTGATTATTACCTTGAAAGGCTTTCTTCAAAGCGACTACCTCGTCATTCTGTACACGTTCAAACTGTCCATCATCAACACCATCGCGATAGAAGACAATATGTTCTGGCAGAGAGCCTTTATTGATGTCTTTGAATGCGATTAATAGCTCTTCGACCATTTCTTTCAACAACAATATTGCCTCTTCTGATTGTTTTCCTTTACTTGGCCATTGACGAGAGACACGTTGATTTGTTAATGTACACTCAGAATTCATACTTGCAACAACAGCTGCAATCGATGGTAATTCACCTGAATAATTATTCTTCGGGTGTTGGACGTCAGCCCCTATAAACATTGTTTTGATAAATGTTTGTAACTGAGCTATTTGTTTATTTTCACCACTTAGTTTAGTATTCACTGATTTTAAAAGTTTATCACAATAACTTCTTAAATTTGATATTCGCTGAACTTTTGTAAAGTTAGCACATTGAGTAGCAAGACCTAAACAGAGAGAGAGTCTATTACAATTTCATAGCTAATGATTGAATATTGACTAACCAAATTCGTTGTATGCAATTTGCTTGAACAGTTCGTGTATTTTTAGATTTCGACAGTTTTCAAGACACAGAATGAATTGACACTGCTTGTTTTTGAGCTCAGATAAACGATTTCGAAGTCTGTTTTCTAGATTTCTATCAGCAAAAATTTCATATTCATCCGGATATTCAGGCAATTTCATTCTTTGTCGTTTTGCAGCCTGTTAGAAGCAGTATGAGGAAAAAAAATCTTCGGAAGTATATATGGGAAAATATAAAACTTACATCGTAAAAGTTGTTCAACAATTTTTCTTGAACTTGTCTTACATTCTGTTGTTGACAGTCCGTCAGATATATGAATCCCATGTTATCAATTGAGACTGGATTTGTGAAACCACTTTGTCTACTGAGAATAATTTGAGGTTTCCTTAGAGTTTCATAAGGAATTGCCATCATCTTCTCACAATAAATTTCTAATTGAATTTCTTTACACAAATCATCATCATGAAAATTGCAGTATCTGATAGCTGCCAATATTGAATGATATCGTTTACTGACTGATGGTGCTGGAATAGGTTTCGTGTTTTCATCTTCCTTCACCTGTTGCCACTCTTCAAGACAGCAAAGTTCTATTGGCAGATCAACTATATTTTGCGGATTGCCTAATCGATAAGCTTTCAAGCAGTACAACTTTGGATAACGAAGTTCAAATCCAAGATGCTTATAGTAATCTAGAAGATTGCCTTGTCGTTCAATGAAAGTGTTTTCAGGAAGATTATCCGAAAAATATCCTGTGAGAACATATTTATTTTGATGATCTGACTGAATTGTTGTAACTTCAACATCTTTCAAACGATTACCGATTTGATCGTATTGTCGATCTGACAGCCATCCATGAAAAGGAGATTTATTTTGCAGCAATCTTTCCCAAATAAATGTTAAAAGATCAAGGTGAGGGTAGAATCTAGTAATTGTGATATCCACATTCAAGGTGGGACCTGATTCTGTGAGACACATAGCCTGTTTGAAGCCTGTAAGGAGATCATAGAGTCCATCTTGATCTGGTTCTTCGTCCCATCTATAGAAGACTGAACCAATTGCTTTGAATTGTTCTTTGAGTACTTGTTTGATCAATGTTTCAATAATCCGAATCGAAGATTGATCTAAATCGTTTGTGCCACTTGTGGCTGATAGACTTTTAATTGTTAAACGACGTTGATATCCTTGTTCTTCTTTCTCATATATAATTGGCAATTTGTCCTTGAAATTTGTTGTACTGTACATGCAACTTCCTTCATCGTACCAACAGACAGCTGTTGGGTGAATTGTTTTAGCGAGAAGGATATCAGAAACAAACTGACGACGTTTTTCACGACTGGAAATGTTAATGTATTTATTTTGTTTTTTATGATATTCTTCAACGATGACATCGTATTGATAAAAGGTAAGATCACGAGCGAATGAACATGGAAAATGATTGGTGTAGACGACATCATCCGAGTCATCCTCCTCGACTTGTTGTAATGCTATTCTTGATGACTGAACTGACTTTGGAGCTGTACTCTGCTCCTTTGATGTAGTCAATACTAATGCGGCAAGAGTATTTGTTTGTTGATCTATAGATTTCTATGAAGAGAGATTAAGTTGTAAAATGACACTCTAAGATGGTGCTCAATTACTTACATGTATGCCTTCACATTTTTTTAATTGCTCTTTAACTTTATCGTTTGCGACGGACATCTTATCTTCAAAATCTACGAAAGAAACAATATGATTCAATTCTAGCACATTCTTTTCAAATTTAAGTAAACAGTACTGACTCACTCTTTTCTCCGTTCGTTCGGTTCTTTTGCTTTGTAAGTCGTAGTTTTTTGGTAAGAATAAATTGAATGAAGAACTCTCTTTCTGCACATTAATTTATACTTTGTGGATGACTGATAGACATGTTTTTCTTTCCCACTAAGAAAAATCTTTCTTTTTTTTTCTCTTTTCATGTATCATATTCAGATTTCGTAATCGTTGTGCAAGGTAATGAGTAATGTTCTTCTCCAAAATAAATGTATTAATATTTCCTTATACGTATGCCATGTCTTCTCTTTTTTCTGCATTCTTCTCATATAGCTTAATACTGAGATCTTTTGCGTAACAAAAACAAAATTTAATAGGAGCGCTTGTTCGAAAAACAATGTTAAGACTTCCTTTTCTACGCATAATATTAATCATATTTTTATTCAAATCTTTTTGTTTCAATGATTTGGATTCGATCCAAAAAAGAGAGACAGACATATTTCTAGAATTTAATTTTTAACTATCTCTTTTAATTCATCATTATATCTATCTGATATTTTAAAATATACTAACAAAATTCTGAAACGATAAATCTGCTTAAAAACATTTAGTCTTTCTAAAAGTAATCAATTATTTTCAACCTAGTCGTTGAAACACAGATAATTAGTTCAAGATTAACAAATTCAATAATAATAGTCTGTTTATTACATATGCTTTCTCAAGAAATATATATACAATTCAAAAGAATCCTACTACAGAAAAACAATTTTTTCTTATATTTTTTTTCTATTATTAGGTTGGCCAAAATGTTCGGCTACACTTGCGAAAAAGCTGATTTTTATGCGCATTTTTGTTAATTTTTTGTGTGTTTTATGCACAATTTTTGTTGTTTTTGTGTTTATCGTGTTCCGGGTTTGTGATGTAGTGACTAAACAGTCACGTGTCTGTCTACGTGGCCATCTCTATCTATCCATTGTTCAATATTGCATGTACCTTCTAGAACTTTGTATGCACTCTACTCGGACATATGACGTGTTCTTGCGTAATGTTATTACGTAATGTTATTGCGCAATTTTCATACTATATATACCGGTGTTTCCTGTTTGTCACTGTCATTTTTCCCAATCAGTCACTCAGTGTTCACTTGTGAATAAACCAGCTCTTCTGAATCGTGTCTCCTTTCTGCTCGACATCAATCTCGGCCTGAAGACGTGACAGGGTTCATCTTTATCCTCAAAGTTTCAGATGACATTGGACAAAATCGAGCTTCGAGTCTTGATACGCTATTGTTGGAAGCGACGACTTTCGACCAGAGATGCTGCGAAAGAGATTTGTGATGGTGAAGGCGAAGGAACCGTCCACTACACAACTGTTTCCCGGTGGTACAAACGATTCGATTCCGGTGACCTTAGTCTCGAAGATCAATCACGTTCCGGCCGGCCATCAACGTTGGACAAAGAAGATCTGCGGGCAGCCTTGGAAGATGAGCCTTCATCGAGCAGCCGTGAATTGACGTCGGTTCTTGGAGTCTCGTCCCATCAGACTGTGCTCAGTCACCTGCATCAAATGGATTTTGTGCACAAGAAGCCTCGCCAGGGTTCACACGAGTTGACCGAAGCGCAAGCCAAGCGTCGTGTTGAAGTCTGCCGTCAATTGTTGGAAAATCCATTGGATGATCGGTTTTGGAAGCGTATTGTGACTTCGGACGAAAAATGGGTCTACTTGGTAAATCACAACCGGCAGAAGCAGTGGGTTCCGCGAGGTCAAGATCCACCATCAGTTCCGCATCAAGATGCTTTCGGCAAGAAGGTGATGATTTGCGTCAGGTGAAACTTTGAGGACGTGCTTCACTTTGAATTAGTTCCGAATGGCCGTGCCGTGAACGCCGAACTCTACTGCCAACTACTGGACGGTGTCTATGAGAAGCTGAAGGAGAAGTACCCGACCCTCGTTCGTCGCAAACGTGCTTTGTTCCAGCAAGACAACGCTAAACCCCACACCGCCAAGAAAACAAAGGAGAAATTTGACGAACTG